GGCGAACTTCACTGCACCTCCACCCTAGCCACCATCAAGCCCGCCTTCCACACTGCTCTTTTGAGAGCTGAATTCTCAGACTGTTGTATTGATTGGTCATCTATTGAAGTTACTTTCCACCTTAAGCCTAATCTTAGTTCCCCTTCACATCATCTATTGGTTTAGTGGTCCACATTGAGATAGGTGAACCCATGACCTTCTCTTGAATTATGCTACTGAGAAGGCAACAGAATCAATAACATCCAGGTTTGACTTCACTTTAATATTTGATTTATTAAAGGCTCTGACACCTGATTTTCAGGTTCTTGTATATTTCAGAAAAGTAAAAGCAGAAATCCTTGCCAATAATAGATACCCAGTAAATAATTGATATTAAAATATACTAAACCACAAGGTCGGCAGTTCAAACCCACCAGCTGCTCCTTGGAAACCCTATAGTCACTACGAGTCAGAACTAACCAGAGAGCGCTTAAGAACAACAACAACAACAGACATATAGTAAGTGCTCAAATCTGTGAATATTAATTTGAATTATGCTTTCTTTTTTTCATACCCAAAATCTACTGAATTTTGGAGGTTATAGAAACATTAATGTCTTTTCCTTCAGTTTAAAAAATATTCCCTGCTGATTTCAGAATAAAGTCAACATTTAGCCAGTCTTGTCCCAACCTCATCTCCAATAACATCTATGACCCTTCTCTTTCAATTGGGATTCCTCTGGAATCACCAAGAATAAAGCAGTTCATTAAGAAAAAAAACATTATCTTATGTTTAATCTTTCTTTTTCAGAAAGCCCCTTCTATTGGCACTGATACTCTGAATATTTTCCCAAGTTTGTATGTGCCATACCTAACATTCCTTTCTTCAACCTCTATTTTAAGCCTCTGACATCTATCATTCGTTTTATCGTTACGCTCTTCCTTATTAGGGTGTTTGCTTTATTTGACTGCGACTTAGTGCCCAAATACGCCATCTTGCATTCTCATCACATAGTCCCAATTTTGCATATAGAAATTTTTAATTTTCCAAGTTCTCAATGAGTGTGTGTCATTTTTACTTGTGTCCTTCCCATCTGAGAATTATCCACTGCATTAGTTAGGGAGAGAATTCATGTGTTTACCTGCATAATTTTCCCATGCTCTTTGCCAGCAAAAACCTCTCAGAGTTGAACATTATAACATGGTAAGATCTATGGGGCAGGAGTTGGGTCTTACTCCCCGCTGTAGCCCTAGGTTCTAGCATGGTCCTGGCAGTTGCCAACCCTTAGTTAATGATGGATTAAATGAATGAATATTCAAATATATACTTCATGCTTGCTGAGCAGCTGAATTTAAATTGAACAATAGTAGTCAAGAACTTAGAGTCCTGGCATGGTGCTGCAGGATTAGCACTGAACTGCTAACCACGAGGTTGGCAGTTCAAACCCACCCAAAAGACACTCTTGGAAATGCTATGCAAGGATTCTATGAGTTGAAACTGACCTGAAAGCACACAACAACAATAAGTCAAGAGCTTAAGGCAAGTATGAAGCTGATTAACTTTTACCTCAAAGCTTAGCATCTCTCTCCCTCATTGCGTTTTCCCTGTTGTCTTTCTTCTACCTTGGCCTGACTGAATCCTAGTCTCTGTTGCTATTCTTAAGTGCCATCGAGTCTACTCCTCCTCATTGTGACCCCATGAGAGAGCAGAACAGCTCCCATAGTATTTTCTGGGCTATAATCTTTACGGGATCATATCGCCCTGTCTTTTCTCCTGTGGAACAGCTGATGGGTTTAAACCTCTGACTTTTCAGTTAGCAGTTGGGAACCTAAGCATTGTGCTGCTACTGCTCCTTTCTTTGTCACAAATAAAGCCTAAATTCATTATGGGGCTGGGTCAAATATACACATTGTTCAAAATTTAAGACTTGAAAGGATTTTCTAAATCTAAACATTGCTTTTCAATTTCTGAGTAAACTTCTTCTGAAGCTTTTTATATAAATGGAAAGCTTCATTTTGAATATTCTTTCACTTGCCTAGAGGGGTACTTACTGAAAATATAAAGCAAAGGAAAAAAAAAAAATTGTAGAACAGATCACCACTAACTTTGATATCAGTTACTGCTCAACTTTGGTTCACAGAATAAGAATCTCAACGTACATTGTGACAAAATTCTTTTCCTTCTTTCTATTTTAGCAGAAAATCTGAGGGCAAATCGAAGAAAAAAATGTATCCGTTTATCCCCCACCCCCACCACTTGTTTGTTTATAGGTGGTGGTTGTTGTTAATGCCATCGAGTTGGTTCTGACTCATAGCAGCCCTGTATAGGGACCCGAGGAGCAGTTAGTGGGTGTGAACTACTGACCTTGTGGTTAGCAGTCCAAACACTTTTTATTCCTCAATATACAGAATAATGTATAGTTATTTTGAAAGAAAAAATTAACTATAAGACATGAAAATTTACTTCATTAGTTAATTAAGTTTTAAATTAATTAATAAGCCCATCGGCATTGAATCAGTTGTGACTCATGATGACCCCATGTGTAACAGAGAAGAACTGCTCCTCAGGGCTTTCTAGGCTGTCATCTTTATGGAAACAGATTGCCAGGCCTTTCTTCTGCAGTACTGCTGGGTGTGTTTGAACCTTCAACCTTGAGGTTACTACTACAGCACAAACAATTCAAGACACCCAGAGATCTCATTTTATACATGGGACACCGTTTTATCTCTTTTTACACATGGGACACAGTTTTATCCTGGGACTTTTTTTTTTTTAAACAAAGAATACCTATCATTTTGGCAGAGTAGAAAGACTGCAGCTCACTGCAGAAGGGAGAAGGCCGCTTTCCATGTAGGTGTTTGGACACAGGTCAAGGTGTAGCTTACCTCTCTCTCTGAATAGAAAAAGAGATCTTCATGGAGTTCTCCATCAGTCAAAGCAATGATGACGCTGGCTGTCCTGTATCCTGCTCAATAGAACACAAACCGGTCAGGCACCTGCCTCTCAGCCTGGGGGTCCATCTCTTACCAGCTCCACCACCCACAATCATATGGCGAAAACCAATAACTGACTTTCCTTTTAGGACTAGAAGCAACTACATCATGGAGAAGACTGCTTCCAGAGGAAAAGGCTCTACAGGGAAGGCTAGGTTTCTCAGCCTCATCTCAAACAATGGTCCAAACTGATGAAACAGCCATTGAACTGCTAGCTGGGTGGTGTTGTGAGGTGACATCGAGATGACTGACAGCAACCTCAAGTAGCAGAGGAGAACTGATCCATAGGGTGTCCTTGGCTGTACTCTATACCAGAGCAAATTGCCATGTCTTTATCCTGCAGAGTCCTGGGTGGGTTCAAACCACCAACCTTTCAGTTAGCAATCAGGCACTTAACCATTGCACCACCAGGGCTCCTTTAGCTGGAAGCAGCTCCAGTGAATCGAGTGTGGTACCTGTCTAGTAGCAGTCCATTCGACAATTACCAAGGCCTTAGAGCAAACTCTGTCATGTGGGCTGCTCACTGGTTCCTCTTACACACCACAGGTGACCATATGCACTATGTCTTAAAGACATGTTGGCAAAGAGTAATGGTAATCATGATTTATTATACCAAAAATTGTTGCTGTTGAACAGAGTAGAACTGTCCCATCATGTTACCAAGGCATGTTTATGAGAGCTGATTGCTACAGCCTTCTCTGGTGGTCTCCTGACCTTTCTCTTAGCAGTCGAACTCTGAAATCACTGTACTTCCAGGGATCCTTGGAAGTATGATAGCAGTTGGCAAAACCTAGTTGCATTCTTTGAATGATTTTTCAGACTTTTAGTCATGTTGCTGATGAATGATTTATATTAACAAGTGTTGGTGTTGATAGCCGATCTGTTCTATTTATTTATTACCTTTTAGGATGAAAGAGGAAGTAGATACCTTTTACAGGCCTGGAGGAAAACTCCCCACTTATCACCTCTCTTTTAATAGATTTGCCACACATAAAAAAAAAAATGCTTCCCCTAAAAAATATTGTAGCAGTAGTAACAATAGTTAAAAATCATAATTAGTATTATTTCAATGTACCAGACATGCTACTAAGAACATTTCATGCATTTTTTTCCCCATTTAAATGAATGACATCTTAAATCAAAATAACAACTTAAGACTTTACAGCCAATGGCAATAGTGAAGAAACTTGGAGCTCAGAGAAGGATTAAGAAAAGTAAATTTAGCACAAAATCCAAGACTTTAGTAACCCATTCAAGTATTTACTAATCTAATGAATTCAACATGAAAGACTTCATGGGAATTATGGACTGTAGCCTTAAAGAGCTCCAAACTACTTTCAGATGACTTTGTTTATCATCAGCAGGACAGTGAGATTTGACCTGGTACCTGCCATCTTTCTGTGCATTGTTTCTTTAATGATGAAGTACCTACCCAAGGATTACATACAGTATCATATGTGTCTTTGAGAGTTGTACGGGGTTCTAACTACTCATATACCCTTGACTGAAAGATGGTCCTTCTCTATTGGGGAAGGTTGTCCTCTTCAACCGAGCCTGCAGCCTCAAGAAGGATGCACAAGGAACAGTGAAGAAGGAGGACACCATTCTAGTCAGCCGGATTGGCTGAATCAACCCTGGCTGGCAATCAGTGCCAGATCGCCCTCACATTCATCATATGTGTCTTTGAAAACATGAAATTACTGAGGCACATTTTCAGGAGCAAACAGATAAAAAGTTATTTGATTCTGATGATGGTAATTCGAAATGTGATCTTACCTTGACTATTTTCATAATAAATCTGCTCACTGGCCTGAAATACACAAGAGAGAACTATTAGTATAGAGCCACTGTGGGTCATTCCAGATACTGTCATGGGCAGTAGGATCTGGTACTGGATATGCAGTGAAGACTCAGGTTGATTGGTTATGTAATTCACCTAGGTTTCATTGAAGTATCCATGGGTAACTTTTATCTAAAGTTATGCTTATATCAAATATACTTGGACAGATGGATTAGTGATTTCCTTCTCATAGCTGAGATTTATTTTCCTTAAAGTTGAAGGCAATGAAATTCTGTCTCAACCACTGAAGACACCATCCAGGCACATGTCTCTTTGGGGACTAAGGGGGCTTACATGCATAATAGTTAATGAGTAACACCCAACCATTGGCTAATAAGCCCTTCTCAGAGTCAGGGAAGGAGGAAGGAAATTCAGTTCTTTTGGATAGAGTTATCAACGTATAATCTTACAGAGAAAACTATTTTACTCTTTTGTAGTGAGTGTTATTCAATCCCCTTAATCTCATCAGCTTTCCCTATGTTGATATTCAGAGTTTAGAACTGTTTTAAAGTTACCCTTTCAAATCCTTCATGCATGTATGTGTCACCTCCTGGAAGGACTTTCTGCAGTTCTTCTAGGCCTTGACGGATCTGTTCCCTGAAACCCAAAGAAACCCTGCTGTTATTATTATTGTTATTTTAAAAATATTTCATTATGTTTTTGGTGAAGGTTCACACAGCAGTTTTAATTCCCACATAACATTTTCTACCCAAGCTGTTCAGTGACATTGGTTCCATTCTTCATAATGTGTGGACATTCTCATTGCTTCTATTCTGGTTGTCCTGTTTTCATTAACCTACTTGCTCTGTATCCTTATAGTCTCACCTTTATTTTAAGTCATTCTAGGCTATTTGCTCTATCTTTGTAGGTGATTATTTTTTAAAGGTACACAGTACTTATAGGTGATGTTGTTGTTGTTGTTAAGTGCCATTGAGTCAGAACCGACTCATAGCAACACCATGCACAGCAGAACAAAACAAAGTCCGATCCGGGGCCTGACAGTCACTATTTTTTGAGCCAATTTATGATGTAGCTACAAGGTAACCTCAGGGGTTAGTTTCAGTTCAAACTGTGAAGAGTATCTCAGGTCCTGATGTGGCACTGTGGGATAAGCACTGGACTGTAAGGACGGTTTGAATCACAAGATTGGTGGTTCAAACTCATCAGACACTCACCAGAAACCTTATATAGGGTCGCTATGAGTCAGAACCAACTCAACTACCCTTGACAAAACAAGAAGCCCTGTTAGCCTTATTAGATCACTTTTTATTTTGCTGTTGGTAGTTGTATTCACCTGTTTTTTCTTATCTTCATCCACATTGTTATCTAGCCCCATGAGTTTGCCCTCCAAAAGGAAGGCCTTTGATTACATCATCCATTCAGGCACAGAATAAGTGGGCATAGAGTGAGATTTCAAGGATAGAGGGGAAGGACCCTTCTGAAGGAATTCCCATCTGCTCATGCAAGTTTTCTTTTCCCTTGTTATTAAGTGCTGACTAATGAGTTCCAACTCATTTTGTTGTGGTTGTTAGGTGCCATCGAGTTAGTACTGACTCATAGTGACCCTATGTCCAACAGAACAAAACACTGTCGGTCCTGCCCAACCTCACAATCATTGCTACATTTGAGCCCATTGCTGCTGCCACTGTGCCAAATCCATCTCATTGAGAGTCGACCTCTTTTCTCCGACCCTCCACTTTACCAAGCATGATGTCCTTCTCCAGGGACTGATCCCTTTTGACAATATGTCCAAAGTACGAGTGACAAAGTCTGGCCGTCCTGGCCTCCAAGGAGCACTCTGCCTGCACTTTTTCCAACACAGATTTGTTTGTTCTTTAGACAGCCCATGGTACTTTCAATATTCTCCTCCAACACCATAACTCAAATGCATCAATTCTTCTACAGTCTTCCTTATTCACTGTCCAGCTTTCACATGCATGTGAGATTATTGAAAATACCATGATTTGGGTTAGGCGCATCTTAACCCTCAACTGACTCATAAAGGCTGTGTTTAAGTTTCCGAGGTTTTAAATTTTTGTGGGAGCAGAAAGCCTTATCTTTCTCCCACAGAGTAGCTGGTGGGCTTGAACCACCGATCTTGTGGTTCGCAGTTCAACGCTTATCCTATGGAGCCACTGTGTTCCCCTCCATACTCTTAGCAGAAACAAACTTTTCACTGTATCTTGGATATTGCGTCTTAAAAGTACAACTGCTTCTGGATGGATGGGGGCAGATACAGCAACTTAGATCAATTTACATCAAGATGTAAATGACTCATATAAGTCAGAAAGAGGTGAGTACCAGGAACCCGGGGAAGGCTACCGGAAGGACTGTGGACTGAAGGGGGGAACGTGTCCAGAGCAAACTTTGCCACCCGCACAAATTTTCCTAAGGAAATAGTGTGCAACCAGCTTTATAAATAAAAGCTCAAGGAATCTGTGTCTTCCAGGATAATCAAGTGTGTTTTCTGTGGGCTGGTGCCTGTGCTTTCTGGTTCTGATTGTTCAAGATGGTGGAGGGGACAGAAAGAGGAAGTGGGTATGGCACTGAGCAAAGGGTATGATTGTCAGTAGGAAATGTAAATGGTTTGAGGACCAAATAGAATCTTTGTGGACCATTCTCTCTGGAATATAGATGCCTATATTCATGTTTCTGTATTTTAAATAGTTTGTCTATAAACTGGCAAACCAGTTGCCATTAATTCCAACTCCTGGTGACCCTTGTGTGTCTAAGTAGCACTGTGTTCTAGAGGATTTTCAATACTTAATTTATCATAAATAGATCACCAGGCTTTTCTTCCAAAGCACTTCTGGGTGGATTCATACAACCAACCTTTTGGCTAACAACTGAGTGTGTTAATTCGGGACTCCTAATAGCTCCATGTTGTACAGAAAAGGGCACAAAAGCATAATTCCTTTAAAAACAACAACAACAACAAAAAACCCCTTAACTTTATTCATAGATTAGCGTAGTGGTTACGAATCGGGCTGCGAACCACAAGGTCAGCAGTTCGAAACTGTCAGCTGTTCCGCAGGAGAAAGATGAGGCGTTCTGCTCCCATAAAGATTTACAGCCTCAGAAAGCCTGTACAGGGTCGCTATGAGTTGGAACCGACTCCATGGCACACAGCCAAAGGGCTTGAAATTACTTTTCTTTCACTGTGGTCCTGTTAAGATAAGAGGGTTGAATATTCTCTATTTAAATTAGGGAAGAAAATGCCTTTCAAGAAGGGAAGAAACCTAGCCATATACAAGGAATTGATCAATGTTTTTTTTATTTCATTCTCACAAGAACCACTCCAGGTGAGTATTGTTGTCCCCATATCTACAAGGGAGAAAAGTGGGCTCAGAGAGGTTAAGCAAGAAAGCAGAACTTGAAGTCCAACCTGTCTGACCACAAATGCCCCTGGTTTCCCACTCTGCCAAGCTGTCTTCTAGCATGAAACAGTGTTGGAAAACTGAGACGCCTTTGCTACTTGAATGAGTGAAGAAGAATGGTAATTCTAACACTGTCTCAGCACTTACAATGCGCCATACTCTTCTCTGACAACCTTTTGAGGTAGATACTACTGCTACTGCCATTTCACAGATAAGGAAACTGAGTCACAGAGAGGTTCTTCCTACTGCTGCTGCTGCTGTGTGCTGTCAAATCAGTTCTGACTCATAGCAACCCGGTATAGACTTTCCGTGACTGGCACTGTGGGTTAGTGTACTGGATTGTAATGTCGGTTTGAACAGCAAGGTCGGCGGTTCCAACTCATTAGCTGCTCCTCAGAAACCCTGTACAGGGTTGCTATGAGTTAGAATTGACTTGATGGCACTTAACAACAACAAAACATTTTTATGGGAGCAGAAAGCCTCGTCTTTCTCCCATGGAGCGGCTGGTAGGTTTGAACAGCTGACCTTGTGGTTAGCAGCCCAACGTGTAACCTGCTTCATTGCCTGCTTAGTTGTTGTTGTTAAGTGCCACTGAGTCAGTTCTGACTTATAGTGACCCGTATAGGTTTTCCAGGAAGCAGCTAGTGGGTTTGAACTGCTGATCTTATGGTTCAAACCGACATTGCGGTCCAATGCTTATCCTATGTTGCTGTTGTCAAGTTGGTTCTGACTCATAGCGACTCTGTATAGGGTTTCCAAGGAGTAGCTGGTAGGTTTGAACTACTGAACTTGTGGTTTGCAGTCCAGTGCTGATCATACAGTCCCACACCAGCAGCCGAGTGCTTATCCTATCTGTTGTTGTTGTTAAGTGATGTTGTGTTGGTTCCGACCCTTAGTGACCCTGCATAGGGTTTCCAAGAAGTGGCTGGTGAGCTTGAACCGCTGACCTTGAGGTTCAAACAGACTTTGTAGTCAAGTGCATTAACCCACAGCACCATACCAGGAGTCCAGTGCTTATCCTATTGTTGTTGTTAAGTCCACTGAGGTGGTTCCAACCCATAGAGATGTTGTATAGGGTTTCCAAGGAGTGGCTGGTGAACTTGAGCCACTGACCTTGTGGTTCAAATCGACTTTGCAGTCCAGAACATTAACCCACAGTGCCACACCAGGACTCTACCTGAAATACTAAGTGACAAAGATAAGGGTTGGTACCCAGAAGTCCTGCTCTTACTCACTATTTTAAAGACTTTCATAAATACCTCTTTTCACAAAACAAACCCACTTCTGTGATGGATGCTGACTCAGAGTGACCTGACAGGACAAAGTGGTGGTGGTGATGTGCCGTGGAGTCGGTTCTGACTCATAGCGACCCTGTACAGGGTTTCCGAGGTTGTAAATCTTTACGGGAGCAGAAAGCCTCATCTTTCTCCCATGGAACCGCTGGTAGTTTCGAACTGCTGTCCGTGAGATTAGCAGCCTGATTTGCAAACATTACACTACCTGAGTGCAAACTGTTCCCACCAGTCAGAGACTCCTATTTCAACTCTGCTATTGAATATGTCCCATGCATCAGAAGAAGGGATGGTGTCTCCTACCAAGGTTATGGAGGTTGGGGAGATGGCAATTGCAGGTTGGCGGTTTCAAGAGTGTCACCACAGCAGAAGCAGTGGCAAGGTGGTGTGAGGGTCAGGTTGGAATATGAGATGGGATGGTATGGGAGGTGATGGTGAGACTAGAATAGGAAAATTGGGGTCTGTTTCTAAGCATACATAGATGGCACTGTAGAACCCTGGGGGGCACTTAGAGAGGTTACCTCTGATGCTTAGGTGTGAGGAGACAGAACGTTAAAAAATAAATGTGGTTTTATTCTTTGGTTCTGGTCTGTGAGGTCTGGGATGTTTTCAGAACACTAAACTTAGAATATCGTGTTAAGATTGAAGCTTAAGGAAGAGGATTTAAAACAACAGCAACAACAGAAAAAACCACCCCAGGCATATTGGGGGTATGGAAAAGTTCCTTGGCTTTATCGCATTGTTTTCCCTGCCAGATAAAGTCTGGGAACTGGGGTGTTTTCTCTAAGCCTATTTCCTTTTCTTTACAAGTATTTTGTTGAGCTCTCTGGCTTCTTGGTACCAGAATAAGCAAAGCCTGTTCGGGAAATTTTCCTTATCCTTGATACTTTGCGCCTGCCAAGATAGGAACTCATTAGTTACAGACTGT